AAATCCACTGAGCCTCATGTATGTTCCCTGGTTTTAGCCATGGAGAAAACTCTTGGCTGGAGACAATTTTGATTACATTTACACTTGCTCATATTTTCCAGACAAAAATTTAATGGTGCATCTCGAAAGACTGATTTAAGACATTTTAATACCAATTAAGGCCATTCATTTGATCATTTAAAATAAAGAATAATCAAAGGCATCTTTACTGTTTTCAAAATAAGACAGATTTATTCCCAACTACATTTTCCTGCAGAGTTAGAGATTTAGGAGATATTTTTTCTAATAACATCAACTAAATCCATTTATATATTAGTGTTCAATGATTAGGTCTAATTGCTAAAAACAAGTGAGGTGAAGTTCATTTTAATGAACTCCTTACATTATATAAAACACATAATGAGACGTTATTAGAAAAACTTAAGGAAAATCAAACCCTATCAAGTATAATTATATATGGTAAAGAGATCTGATATTTTTACTGTGTTTATATTTGTGGAAAAAAAAATCCAAACAAGAAAACCAAGAAAATACATTAAAACACCATGAATATATGATTTCCTTTTATAAACCATGTTTGTATTTTGTGCAGACAGAAAAAATTAAGGTCACAGAGGCCTTTTTACCTGTTGGTGAGCTGTAGGACACAACGATGTCTCCGGTCAGATCAGCGGGGGGGTAGTGACCGTTAAGGAAAGCAGAAAAAGAAACTTCTTTGGTTGAACCAACACCTGAAAACAACGGAAAACATTTTATAATTAAACACCGACAGATAGCTTTCTTTTACGTAGCTATACCTTATATTCCTCTGGATTAAAAAGAAAAAAAAACATGTCAACTACTGTAGGATATGCAGCATAAACTGGAGGGAATAACAATTATAAATGTGTAATAAAAAAGCACACTTCCTTTCATGTTTTTTTGTGTTCAAAAAAGGATGTCCAAAATATATATCCAAATATATCAAAGTTCTTAGTTTATTGCTGCTGCTTGCTTTACAGCAGGGCTGGATAATTTGGCCTAAAAATCTAATCTCCATTTTTTCCCTACCAGATCCAATTAATCGATTTTTTTTTTCTCACTCGAGTTTGATAAAGTTTTAAAAACAATCTACTTTATCACACTGGAAAAAAACGATCCAGAAATAAGTAACAATGTCTTAAATGAAGTGTATTTACCCTTAATTTGAGTAGGTAAATGAAATGATTTGCCAATGGAATGAACATTTTTACTCTTAGAATAAGATATTTAGATAAAATGCACTTGAAATAAGACTACCGTATATAATTGAGTTTTCTTATTTTAAATGTAAATTGTCTTGTTCCATTGGCAAAATGTCTCTTTAACCTTCTCAATTCAAGAACAAATGCACCTATTTTAAGAAAAAATTTACTTATTTAGATTTAGATTTTTTTCCAGTGCAACCATCTCCTCTGGGAGTTGAACGAAATTTAAAGGGAACCAAAAAATCCACATGTGAAACATGCTTCTAAAATAGTCCTGTTTCAAAACAAACAAGGAAAATAAAACAAACTAAATGTTTGCAGCTAGCGGTATCACACAAGCATCACAATGTTCTAAATAAGAATAACAAGATTGGACCAAGTTAAAACATGGTGAAAAAGTATTTTTCCTCTCCGACGTTTCAACAAGTTCCCAGGTTCTAACGCCATAAACTGTCCCATGAAGGGCCCTTAGTGTAGGGACCTGGGGCCTTGCAGTGAGACAGCACAGTGCTCCCTAAGGGAAGCCAAAATGCAGAGGACACATTTCCTTGTAATGTATTAAGTTGCAATGAATATACAGACCAAGATAAAAGATAAAGATTAATGCTATACATTAACATGTTTTACACCACTTAGAGCAGGGGTCTGCAACCTGCGGCTCCAGAGCCACATATGGCTCTTTG